ATTATATAAAGCAGACGTTTGTTTGTCAGTCCAATTACTTTTCGGCCATAAACATCAAAAAGGGATAGCGGTACTAAATAGCATTGAAACGAGAAAATTCTTAATTATCTAAACTTCTCCCATTTTTCCATCCTCTTTCTGCTTCCATTCACGACTAGCAGAAGTAGAGAAGAAGGAGGTAGCGACAATACGTTCAGTTTCAAAAAAATGGCCACGTCGAGGATTTTTGCAAAATTAACGAGGAAAATTCGTGATGAGCGCGAGTTTTTACGCTTTCCAATGCCATAACTCCATCCAAACTTATCCATTTCGAAAAGTAAATACGTCGTGTACAAGAGTATTTGCTCTATCAAACAGTTGTTAAACCAGCTCAACTCATTCAGTATTCAAAAAATGAATACGTCGAGGATTTTTGTACGAGTACCGCCAAAAGGTACTTTTTCGCTGCATAGACTTTCTTTCAACGACTACAGCCTTTTCGGGGGCGATTTTGCACAAAAGTAAAGGCGGAATTGGAGTACATAAGCCTTTTTTTCTTTTCAATAAGTGTGGAAGCGTTTAGCGAATCTCAACTTTATCACTTATATGCTCATGAATTTGACGCTAAAGGCTGCACTTCTTGTTGAATAGTGTACTTCTTCCTGTGATCCCGCATGAGCCCTTTCAGAATTCTCCTGATTTCTCCTGAATCGAGAATTCTCTTCAGGGAGCCACAGTTGAAGACCGCGCAATGAATGGGCCCAATCTGGAACGCGCCGTGTGCTGAACATCCCTTCATATGTGGACTCATTTGGAAGATAAAATACCCGTTGAAAACGTGCAAATTTAAATTCTTCTTACCTTGTCGTAGTAAATCACTGAGGAGGTTCAGAATTACTGCGCGAACCCCTTTGGATCACGAAATGTTTCTGTGGGCGGAATAGCGTTGCTATTGGATATCCTCTGGCCTTTCATGGTATCAATTCGATCCTTATTATTACGGGCCGGCGGTCGTCCAGGTGTTCGTTTGACGTCCCGAGGGATCCAGTCGGTCACCGCTCTGGTCCAACGGTCATCGCAAAATCGCATGACGTGTCCGGCCCACCTTATCATCGATTCTTTGGCGAAAGCGGCAGCGTCCCTGATCTTCGATCGTTGGCGTAGTTCGGCACTCCGGATTTTCCTCTGCTCTTGCGTGTATAGGGTTACTCCTAGCATCGTCCTCTCGACAGCGCGTTGGATAACGCTGACCGCATGCTCGTCCTGCCTGCGCAGAGTCCAAGTCTCTGAGGCGTATGTTAAGGCAGGAAGGACTCGTTTCCTCCTGCTCAGCTCTGGAGCTAGATCGTTCATCATATTGACTTCCCGACCTAGGTACACGTAGCTGGAGCATTCGGTGATGTTCGTTCCGTTGAGCGTGAATGGGGCATCAGGAACCAATCCGTTTCTCATACATCGTCTTCGTTAGAATCAGCTGTAGACCGACCTTACCACAGGCGCAGTCGAAATCAGCCAGCATTCGTTCCACTTGCTCGATGTTCGGCGTTATAAGAACGATTTCGTCAGCAAAACGAAGGTGGTGTAGTTGCCGGCCGTCGACCTTCACTCCCATGTCTTCCCATTCCAATTGACGCATGACGTTCTCGAGAGCGGCGCTGAAGAGTTTGGGCGAGATCGTGTCGCCCTGTCGGACCCCTCTCTTAATGTCGATGATGACCTCCTTGTAGAATGGTGAGATTCTGGTTGTAAAGTTGCTGTGGAGCTCACGAAGAAACTTGATGTACTGAGTAGGGACGCCCTGGTTGCCCAAGGCTTCGATGACCGCTTCTGTCTCCACAGAGTCGAAGGCCTTCTTCAAGTCGATGAACGTGAGACAAAGCGGCATCTTGTACTCCCGTGAAACTTCGAGTCTCCTAACCGTGTGGATATGGTCGATCGTGCTGAACCCTCTTCGGAACCCTGCTTGCTCGCATGGCTGTCCTTCATCTAGTATTCTGCCGATCCTGTTAAAGGTAAACTCCAGGATAAAACGAGGGCCTCACCTGTTCGAGTATGAAGAGTTGGGTGCTAGGCCGATGGGGAGCGTGCAACAGAATCGTCCGGGACGGCGCCGTCGCGCGCGGCCACTTGCGCGGCGCCGTGACGCGGCACTTTTTCAATGGGCGCGGCAACAGTACACTTTGTCGATTGGAGCGACAGAATTGCTGCCGTCCACATTAGGCCTTTTGGCGCAGGCCCGTCAACTTTAACGTCTAACTTTCTTCTATTTTCAGGTCCTCTTCATTGCTGACGGCTCTTGCGATCTTAAGGGATCAAGATCAATAGTTTAATTGAAATTTCAGGTACGCGAGGGCGGAGGCGACGGCACCCGTGGTGTGATTGAAATATTTTGTCTTAAGTTCAGATATTTGTATGACATTTGTTCTTTGAAGTGGTGTTTTTTTTTCGTTTGTACTGGGAAGATTGTATTTATTTTCCTATCAGTGAGTGCTTGGTTGTAGGGACACTAAACAACACTGAGTAGATTCTGCTATTTCATGGTCTTGCTTTTTGAATGGTTACATAACGAAACTTGCATTACAGGAGAATGCTGACCAACTGATACGACCAGGTGAATACCGTTTTTGGAGACATCGGCCAAGTCTTCGACAAACGTAGACGTTAGGAGGTTAGTGTTTCACATGAAGATTTTGCACATAAACCTTGTATTATTGAACCAGTTTTGCTCCGCCCGCTATCGCGCGCATCACATGGCAGGCTTTAGCGAAACTGGAGGGCCCATGGAATATCAGCATGTGGTACTCCATTAAGCACCTCACTATTGAATGTGTTAGACCTTTCCAAGCTTTGCTGAATTCCGTCGAGAATACGCGTGATAACGTCTAGAGCTGAACTGGCATAATTATTTTACAACTGTAAACATCCAGCATTCTTCTTGAATTCAGATATTTTAGCGGTGAATAGGATTGCTGTCAGTCTCAAAATGAAAATGTGTGCCTATTTACATAAGTGAGAAGCTAACGCTTATCATTTATTTACATTCACCATTATTTAGAACCCCGAAAGGATTAGCGGTTTAATGAGTTTGGGCTTTCTTGATATTGCATTAGAAATGAAATTTATCATTAGCTGAAGACTTATTGAGTTTATGCGATCGATGCTTTTAAGTAAGCTGGTCATACAATAATACAATGTGCACTTGCCACTACAAATAGAATTTGTAAGTAGGGACGCTCTAGTATCAGCGCAAACTGCGCCTTTTGCGTTCTGACGCGCATTATCGGCCCTTATCAATCTTTATCAGTTTTTGGCACCCACCAACAATGTCCCCGTCCCACCCCACATAACATTTGTAAGTATGGTTGCTCTTGTGTCAACGCGAGCCAGGCAACGGAATCGACGACTTCAGCGTTCTGGCGCGCATATCAGCCCTTATCAATCTTTATCAGTTTTTGGCACCCACCAACAATGTCCCCGTCCCACCCCACATAACACTTGTAAGTATGGTTGCTCTTGTGTCAACGCGAGCCAGGCAACGGAATCGACGACTTCAGCGTTCTGGCGCGCATTATCAGCCCTTATCAATCTTTATCAGTTTCTGGCACCCACCAACAGTGTCCCCGTCCCACCCCACATAACATTTGTAAGTATGGTTGCTCTTGTGTCAACGCGAGCCAGGCAACGGAATCGACGACTTCAGCGTTCTGGCGCGCACTATCAGCCCTTATCAATCTTTATCAGTTTCTGGCACCCACCAACAGTGTCCCCGTCCCACCCCACATAACATTTGTAAGTAGTGTTCTTGTGTCCAACGCGAGCCAGGCAACGGAATCGACGACTTTTGCGTTCTAACGCATCTTATTAGCCATTATCAGTTGCTATGCTTCCAATCATGTACCACCAATGTCCCGGACAGCATCACATAAGACTTCTAAGTATAGACGCTCTTTACCAATATGAACGGCAAAACGAAATTGGCGATGCTCGCTTTCTAGCCCCTCTTATCAGCTCTTATCAGCCGTTATCAGTTCAATCACGTACCACTTGTGTCCCCATCCCACCCCCTATAACATATGTAAGAACCACTGCGCTATCGTCGCTGTGACTCGAGCTATGAATTTCCGGTCAAACACACACACACACGGACACACCAACAGACACACGCTAGCCGCTTATATATAGTAGATATTGTTCCTACCAGGTCATTTTAAGCGTTCCTGCCAAAGGTATCGGAGAAGTCAAGCATGGGCCCTGTGCAAGGAACAGCCGGCGCTCCCGCTGTGCGCATTGCAGGTTCCAGCCTGTGCGGGACACGAAGAGCGGTGGATGTTGCTGAACAAGTCTGCCGGACCACACCGTAAATGCCCATCATTCTTTTTCGCTTTTATCCACTCTCCATGCTGGGTTAAGTTTACACCGTGGTCACCTTCTTCATTTCTATTACCTTGCATTCGCGTTCTGATTTATTCTTTTGATTTTGTGTTGAAGTGCCCTATTGCACTCTCGCAGACAGTGGGTAGTTCCGTTTGAGAAGTGGTATACTTGTGTGCGTCTGTTCATTTTTTGCATCTTTCGCAGAATGGCAATATTCTATTACGAATGGGCGACTGAAGCGTTCTATGTGTACCACATATCATTTGTCAGTAAATCATGTGTGTATGTGTATCTTCATTAAACTATTAAAACTCTAGCAGACAAAACAATTTGCTTAGCTCTCTTAAAGACCTTCAGAGAAAAAAGAGGACTGTAGATGTGTTAGATTCATCATTCTAATTCATCATTGATTTCAATCGTTATATACACGGAGACTCAGGGAGAGGGCGGCGATATATGAGTGAAAACAGAGGTCTGCGCCAAAATTTTTATCACATACAAAAAGACAAGAGAGAAGGAAAATACGAAAGGACGGTGGGAAGCAGCAAACACCATTGGTTTTTGAAGAAGAAAGCTGGAGTGCAAAGGACATATTAAAGTAGTTATGTTATTTACAAGAGTAACTCTAAAACAGCTCCAGAACGTACTAGTGGGTCATCATAGTGATATAGACAACAATAGTAGTATGTAGCAATGACCGGTTTTCCAACAAAAGACGCGTTCTTTGGGAACGCTGTGAAGATGGCGTTTTTACTTTGATAATCAGCGATCTTAATTCAATGCTCTCAGCTTTTGAAAGAAAGAAAAGAGGAATAAGAAATGCTCGGACCGAACAAAGCATACATTAATTGGCATTTGCCAAAAGACTGATGTAATGACTAACAATGGCTGCATCTGCCACCAGCATAGGATCACTGAAGCCACTTCGAACACATTTCTTAAAAGCTTGAACCTGAAAAAACAGTATTTCACTTTCTCTGAAGACCTAATGCCAACTTTAGATATGGAACATGAAATAAAACCTTCTGCTCTGGAACCTGATGTCGTATAGCAGCGGAGAACTCCACCATGGCTGCATCAGCGTTTCTTCCGAGAGCGCTGTAAGCAGTTAGATCGAGCTATGCGTTGGTAAAACATTCAAAGGTGTTAAGAAGGCTTACAACAACGTAGTCGCCAATTCATCACACTCCCTTGTAGCTTTTAAATAGGCTACGTGCTCGTCCGCAGCTTGAGATCTTCTCAACAACAGATCCCGAAACAATGAATTCATCAATGTACTTTTCAGAAACAAAACAACCTAAACTCTTTTCATTGGAAGAAAATTTCAAATCTTTGTCCAAGTTAGTCCAAAATCTTACAGCTAATATCACACTTCCATCAACGATATCTATAGCAGCATCTAGCAATTGCATTTTCTCTTCTTTGGATCGACACCATTCCATAGATACCGGATCACCTTTGAGCAAACGACGAACAGCCTCTTTAACGTCGGGCGCACGATATAGAGCGTGACGGATTTTTGACAGGCACGTGAAAACATTGTGCGGAACATGAACATGTCGCAGAGGTATTGGACATGAAAATAGAAAAAAAGATAACCTCCAAGTGACGTTGAAGTTTACGATGTTCTGCTTTGAGCCGAGAATAGTCGAGATCGAGACGATGTCATCAAGAAGCAAAGATTACGATGAAAACTGTGCGAATTTATCAAACACTTATCATTAAAACAAAATGAATTTGTTGAACCGTATAACACAATTGCTAACCTGTTGCGCAAATTCAAGGCTGCATTTAGCTTCAGGAATTTGGGTCACAGCTGGGTTCAGTGTTACAATGACCATCGTCTTCGAATTGCCAGCTTCGAGGCTGTCGCGTAGAATCATGGTCAATTTCGAGTTACGGTAGGGTATCTGCTGGTTCTGAAACAGTGAAACAGACTTGAGCCTTTCTAAGCGACCTAAAGTTTCATTTTCTAGAACCGGACCTTGAAATCTCAGAGCCTTTGTTCGACATATGAATACGTGCTATCAGTTTGTTCCAATCAAAGTTTTTACACTAGCCTCCAAAAACATTGAATAATTTAATTGCTACCTTATTTAGCAGGCATCGAATGCAGTTCTGGAGATTTGATAAAGCCGAGTCAATGTATTCCTTTCATTTCCTTGAAGCGATCACCCTCAGAGCCAGACTCTTTGACTCGTTCAGATCCAGCAAGATCCACCAAGTGTAAGCATGCATGACGAGACGATCCTGACAAGAAAACAATTTGGCTATATCAAACAAACAAAACAAGCAAGCAGCAACAGGTAAACCGGAACACCCAATACCTGAGGTTGTATTATGCCCTTGTATTGCGAGTTCAAATACTGCGTGACTTCTGCTTGACTGCTCATTACATTTCGTCGCCGCAGTTGATCTTGTCAAATCTGTTACCGCAAGAATATTCTCAATCTGGGAAAATTGGCGTTTTCTCGCAACTACTTAATGCCAAATATACGAAGTAAAACTAATATCTGATATCATCTACAGCGTTAATTTCATTATACTTCATTCCTTTGATGGAGGTGTTGCCTGATCCAATCTTAACATCCAGTTTTTTCCGCTCACCAAGCAAGTCATAAATTTCTTCGTTGTATACTTCAATGAAAGATGCCTTGAACTCAAACTGCAAGTGTAAGTAATATCCAATTTCAAAAATTCGATGTGTTCTTTATAAAATTATAAAAGCCTACCTGCCAGTCTAAATCCGCCAGCTTATCTCTTGACTGGAAGAGGAATTTTACAGCACGTGGGATGATGCCTTCGGGTTCACCTTCACCTGTAGGGTTATCATAATCATGTACAGTCCATATCCGAGAGTTGAGATCGGCGTTTCACCGGAAGTGACGTGGCTGCTGCCGCACTTGACATAAGTTGGGAGGATAAACTGTTACTAGCACGCTTTGCCGCGACATCTGTGTACAGCCCACTTCCGAGAGGCTGCGGCCAGTGACACGCTTACCCCAATTCTCGGATATATACTGCGACCAGTTTGGCTGCGCACGCATTCGCGTGCATGAGACGGGCTGCAGCGGTAAAATCGCCCATCAGTATTTTTGTCTTGATTTTAGCTTTCTGCTCGGTACATCTTACTTACGCCGCAAACTCGCCTCACATCCGGGTGCTGCCACGCCAGCGTTCACATTCAACCTCTATCCTTACTTTCACCTTAGGCGTATTTTTTTTCAGGTCTCTAAGTCATCTCGGAGCCGAATTAGAGGTCTTGTAAATGGCGTTATGAGTCACGAATTCCTGAGGCAGACCCCGCCCACTGTGTGCATGGCTAGCCCAACAATGGCATTCAACCCTACTCCATACCTCAATACTTATGCACATTTTTCCCGGTCGCCGGAACTTCTAGAACCGAGTTATGAGAGCGGTGGCGAACGTCCGCCCACATCCGGGTGTGCCACGCCCAGCGTTCACTATTCAACCTCTACTCCTACTTTCACCTTGAGCGTATTTTTTTCAGGTCTCTAAGTCATCTCGGAGCCGAATTATGAGGTCCTGTATGGGACGAAATCGAGCAACGTATCGTTGTGGTAAAACCCGCCACTTCGTTACATGCCTCGCTCACCGACAAATGACTATCATCTCTTCCCCAACCTCATTCTACTATTTTCCATCTCCGAACTTATTGGATCCGAGTTATGAAGTACCGTGGCAAACTCCGCCCACTTTAATGCATGCCTCACCTGCCCAAAGCACTTGACCCCCTTCCCTCTGCCAGCACTTATATGCTTTTCCCACACCCGGGACTCATAGGAACGAGTTATGAGGCTGGTTTGCAAACTCCGCCCACTTCGGTGTAAGCTACGCCCAGCCTTGACATTTAGCTTCTCCTCTTCTCCTAACCTGTATCCACTGTTTTCAGCTTTCCAAGTCATCTCAGAGCCGATTTATGAGCTCTTGTAGGAAACGTCGTCTACTTCAGGACACGCTCCGCCCATTGTGGGCGGACCTCCGTTCATATCATGTGTGCTGGAAATACCTTAGACATCGCTGCCCTGCACTAATCTCTTTTCTGCTCTGTAGGCTCCCTCCTAACCCAGTTATTGATATTTTTATTGAGCACCGCTTTTCCAGAGAACGCCCCGCCCACCGAGGTTGGGTCTCCGCAATCTGGCTTACCGACGCACATTTATAACCACTTTTTGTTCCAGTCTCGAGGCTGTTTTTGACTGTATTTGGAATCAACCGATGCACGCCACGCCCACTGTGGGCGGGGCTCCGCTTGGTTGGTGTGTGTTTTTTACTTCTAGGGATATGGTATACCCATCCCAAACTTGACCTGGACCCTATAGGATGTTGTTCGCTTGATACCGAATTTCGTGACAGACGGACAGACAGACATAGCGCATTATATATAGTAGGGATAGTTTTGATTGGTTTCGGTCACAAAGTATTGCAAGAGTACAACCAAGCAGGGACCAAGCCCGGATTCCTCTCAGAACGCGTTCATCAAAGCCTACGAGCGGTTTGTCTCTAGCATTGCTCTTATCAAAATCGTTGACTCTTCCAGCAAGCTTCCGAATAAGAACGAACTTGTCGCACGGAAGGTGAGCCTCGGGTCAATCATTAATCGACTGCGATCCATCAACAAGATCTTCAGTACCCCAATGTGCCGGTGTTAATAGCAGGTAGACAGGTTACGTAAACGGCGAGTTTTGACTGTAGGTTCTCGTAAAGCGGCAATATTGGAAGCATGACTGCGTTAACATGTGCATGAAGGTTAGAAGAATGTAATGTTTACATAAAGTCAACCTCCCAACATTACTTCGCTCCAACAAATGCACACATCTTAAGCAAAACACTGTCATGACTCGAAACCTCAGCAAAAACTTGGCCAATAGATGATGTCCACTCCTCATAAAAAGACTGTAGACGTATTCGCCTCCACTTACCTCCAAAATCATCACATATTAATGAGTTAGACTACGGAGCTAGGCTGTCAAGCTATATTAATCTAGCGTCACCCTCTCAATACTCTGTTTTCACGTATAATTACGACACCAGAGGTAATAAATCGAAATATCCGAAATAGTTTGTAAGAAAACTTATGGAGAAACAAATGCTTGAAAACCATCTCCCAATAGCTGACACATTGAGAAACAAAACTAACCAGCAGCCACAGGATCAAAATCCAACGTGACCACCCCATTAGGAGCTTTCAGCATGCTTGTTCAATATTCGTGCTAAATGCAGCGACTAACAAACGATTCGAGCGATTGTTTTGTTGCCATTTTATTTTATTCAAAAAATTCCTCCCTATGATGTGAAAGTTACGAAGCTCGCTGGCAATATACTTGGAGATAATGAGCGCGTACTCCTCAGAGGTATACGACTGCAATGCTTGCTTACAGCTGCCTGCATGAATATGAATAACTGCTCCACGCCATCAATGAAATCGGCGTCAGAAAATTCAGAAAAGTTCAACTGCAGGCCAAATGAAAGAATAAATAATGAGATTTCTT